GTGGTGGAAAATGGGCACTGGTGGAGGGATGGGCACTTGATCATTGTATAACTGAAACCCAAGCACAAAAATGTGTAAGTCTACAACTGTAGCTCATGGTGTTTCACTAATAAAAATTAATATATATATATATATCTCAAAAAAAAACATCTCTTTCAATTTCTTAATCAATACACTTTTGTACTACTTAAGCAGTTTAAGGTAGGTTGGGTGTTCTTATACAGATAAACAATTCCTAGTTTAATGCAGCAGCCAGGAAAAAAGAAGTCATGAAATTTACTTACAAATGTATGGACATGGAGAGTATTATGCTTAGTGAAATAAGTCAGAGGGAGAGTCACAGACATACACTAGTTGTACTTATTTATGGGATATAAAACAGATATCTTGAGACTAATATTCAAGGACAGTATATGCGGACCAGAAGTTCTGATCCATGGTTAGAAGCCACAAGTGTGTATCTGTGTCTTCTGTGTGTGTATGTATGAGGGGGCAGGGTGACAGTCGGAGGAAAGGGATGTGTGGAGGGCAGTTAGGATAGATAAAAGACTGCTATGACATAAAGGTAAAGGTAAAGGCACTCCCGTTGATCATCGATTTGCTCGAGTGGGCCCAGTAACGTCTCCGTTGGAAACTTTGTTGTTACTGTGTCTGGCATATCGAATACATCACGGGGAGCTTGCCAGGCTCTGCCGTGTGGTAGCTTGCCGGGCTCTCCGAGAAGGGCAAAGGAATCGAACTTGGGTCAGCCATGTTGGCTGCGTGCAAGGCAAACGCCCTACCCGCTGTGCTATCGTTCCAGCCCATGACTGCTATGACATAGATAGCTGGAAATGATCTCTGAACAAGAACTGAGTACTGAAAGGAGGTAAAGGGAAATGCATGACAACTTTTCAGTACTTGTATTCAAAAAATAAGTTCCCAAAGGAAAAAGTGGTGTGTGTGTGTGTGTGTGTGTATGTGTGTGTGTGTGTGTGTGTGTGAGAGAGAGAGAGAGAGAGAGAGAAGAGAGAGAGAGACATGGTGAGAAAGGTGTTGGAACACTGTATGACTGAAATCCAATCGTGAACAACTTTGTAACTGTGTATCTCATGGTGATTCAATTTAAAAAAAGTTTTCTAATTGATAGAATAGTTGAAGGAAAACTGCTAATTTAACAAATTTGATGAAAATACTGTATGAGTGTGTCACTGTCATCCATCTATTTGGTTGAGTGAGAGCCAGTAACGTCTCCATTCATCCCAGCCCTGAGATTTTTGCAGTTTCTCCTCACTTTTCCTTCCCAACGGTGCCTTATTGGGGGCTCTTTCAGGGTCAGGGGAATGAGACCCGTTATTATTACTGTTTTGGCATATCAAATATGCCACAGGGAGCTTGCCAGGCTCTGCAGTGCAGGCGGGATACTTTTCGTATCTTGCTCGGCAATCTGAGAGGGATAGAGAATGTATATAAAATAATATGAGAAAGTATGTTAAAACCAAACACATGTGTGCTGCTTTAGGTACATCAGTGTGCTAGACTACAAGTGGCAAAAGACTATTATAGTTTCTGGATCTTGGCCAATGATGGGATTATATGGTGCTGGGGTCAGTTTGTGGGTGTGACTGCCAAGCTACTAGAAACATTTATATGTGAGCAAAGATGAAACTCAGATTATATGTGGTATAGTGAAATCAATAGAATGTCACATTATTCAATATATTTTTTGGTCATGAGTCAGATGATAATTTGTAGTGTCTTTTAAGTTATGGAGTATAGAGATGCAGAACTACTGCCCTTATACAAAAGTGGGTCTAAGGACACCTCAGAGGGGGGGGGGTTGAGTTTCCCTCCACACCCCAAGTAGAACCCCAGCCGCTGAAAACCTCCAGAACCCAACCACAGTCTTTCTCAGGGCCACTCTCCACATGCTCGGACGAGTCTCACCCAATTGGGATCCAGCAGAAAAATCTAGTTATGTGGGCCTCATGACTAAGACCTCCAAGCCCACTTGAATCAGGACTGGGCCTCCACTCAGCTCCCAGTTTTCCAGTAGCTTGGTTCCAGTATGTCTCACTTTTAAATCTTTCATATGATTAAGCACACTCCATTATCTTGCTTGAAGAATATATTTTTCCCTTTACTTAATGGAGTTCTCTTTCTCCCTCTTCCCTCCATTTCTCTCCTTCCCTCCCTCTCTGTTTCCCATTCTTTTCTCCCTCACCCACTAACCCCCTATTTCTCTGCCTCTTTTCTCCCAAACATCCTACATAAAATAATTTCATTTCAAACATACTCAAAAAGTGAACTGGTTATAACTCAAAAACTTGTTTTGCATGATTGAGCCTGTGTTTGAGGTTTTGCAATATATGGTGCTCTAAGCCTCAAGTAACTCAGTTTCTTTCACAGCCTCCAAATAATCAGTATCGCGAATGCTCAGAAATACTATCCAATGTCCCTAATGCTGTGTTTCTTGTAAACCATTTCTAGGGAAGCAAAGATTAATGGGTTGTATATATCTGTGTGATTGTCCTAAAGTTAGTGTTAGTTATCAAATTATTCAAATTTTACTTCATCTTAAAATCTTAAAAACTTTATTTAATATAATTTAGGTGGTTGCAACTGTGTCAACATTTATTGATACTAATTACAAAATTATTGCACCCCAACATAAGCAAAGTGCCCTCAATCTTCCTCCATAATCTGTCACTTTTAGTCAAGTCTTCTCCCTGCCCCTACATTTTCCCTCATGAATTGATAATTTATTTTGAACTTGAGGGACAAGCATTATTTATTGTGCAGTATTGTCTATTCTCTTACTTTATCTCAATTACCCAGGTGAATAAGATCACCTTTTATCATTTTAAGGAAGAAATTCACAAATGGTGGTGACCGAGAGATAATAAAACAGGCAGGGCATTTGCCTTGCACATGGCTGACCCGGGTCCAATCCCACATTCCACATATGATCCTGAAGCCCTATGCCAAGTATGATTCCTGGGAAAAGAGGAAGAAGCAAGCTCTAAGTACTAAATATGACTCAAAATCCAAACAAAATAATTTTAATAAAATACTTGTAAGCACTCTGGCTTGAAGTTCAGGCAGTTATTTATTATATATTATAAAATTTATTATCAATGAAAGATTACAACTTAATGAAACATCGCCATACATGGCTGCTGTGTAGAAATCAATACAGTAGCTAGGCTATTTATGTCACATATTTTATCAAATAAATTTTCAATAAAGCATGGTGTAGAACAATGTCTTTCTTCATATATAACATACATCCTATGAGGTTAGTATCTACTTATTCAGGTATAAACAAATACTGGGGTGGAAATGCATAATTAAAATTTTTTCTTCAGAGTTCAGGATGAGCCTAAAGACAGGAAATCATGCCTTGCTATAAAAAATCATAAAAATACACACATTTGAACCAATTTATTTATTATTTTATTCTTTGATTTCATGTGATATGACAGAAAAAAATTCAAATGAGGTTTGCAATTAAGGAAGATTATAATTACCAGGTTAATACTTTTGCCTGTAGTGTGTCTTCATTTTGATATCACATATATGATCAGTTTCAGTTGACAAAAAGCTTGTTGACTTTACACACTAACTTCTGAACTTGCAGATATAAGGCAACTTCATATCACAGTAATGATCTTTCCATTTTTGAAAATCTAAAGTGATAGAAGAACAAATGTTAATTTGGATGGTGAAATTTATGAAGCCAATAGAAGTGGTATACCTGATTCTAGATTATTATCATTGATTATTATTATTAGTTTGTGGTGGTGCTCAGGAACGTTTCCTGGCTCTGTGCTTATGAGATTCCCCCAACTGTGCTCATAGGACCATATGTATTGCCGTGGATTCAAACCAAAGTGATCATGTGCAAGAACAAGTGCCTTACTTCCTGTGCTTTCTCTCCGGTCTGCTGAGCTCATTGCAAAGACCATCATTAATGAAAAGAGGCAATAGATGGGGAGAAAATTTATATTTAGAAATGAGAATTAAGTTATGAAACTAGTTGGACAGAGGCTGTCCTCTACTTCTAGGTTTTTCCTTTTCCGATCACACCCAGCTGTGCTTAGGGCGTACTCTTGGCTCTGTGCTCAGGGATCATTCCTGCAGGCTTGATGGGGAGCTAGGGATTGAACCCAGGTCTATTGCATATAAGACAAGCACCATACCCCCTGTACTACCACTCCACCACCTGAAAGCTGTTTCTTACCTGATATTTCTGACACACTTCCACAGTAACCAAAGTTTTGACTAGATGGACCACCTGACTCCCAGGCATGGTAAACCAATCTATCACCACTGCTCCACTCCCAACCAGCTCCATGGAGACGGCCCTGTTGAGTAGAAAGCAGAACTATATTAGACTAATTGGACAGTATAGCTCTTCTTGAATGAATCCCTTAGTTAAGTCATGTTAAGTGAAACATCTGATAAACCCCATGCACTATGAAATGTGGTCTGTTCTGCTATGTGTTAAACCTGTTACTACAGCTTACATTGAATACTCCCTAATTCCCTGTTACTACAGCCTTTGTCCCCTGTCCCTGACCAAATCCCCAGGTAAAAATCACTGGAAATTTTGGAACCCAAAGAATTACATGTTCCTGTTTAAACAATAATTGGTGCATTTGTATTTACTATTTGGTACTTAACATTAAGGTATGTTTTATAGGATAAAATACAATACATATCCATTTAGAATTTTCAGTGTAACAATTATAAAATATGTTATAATCATAATGCTGAAATACCAAGGTATGTTGGTGAATTTTACCAGTGCTTGAGAAGTGATGGAACCTCGGCTATGTACAAACAATCTCAAAACTCATCTCTTCCACTGAGGCATAATAATTTTCTTTCCCTTAAGGTTTTCTCAAATATATTATTTTTAATTTATTTAAGTTATTTTACTGAGAAGACAAAGGGTGTGGTGAATTCCCTAGAAATCATAGAAATATTTTGTGTTAACAGAAAAGATGAAAATTCACCTCAGTGGGGTCATGAAGTCCAATCCAGACATCAGAATTGTTATCCAAATTATTCCTGACCACTGAACCCACGAAGGAGGCTTCGGATTTGCTGAGCACAGATGCAAGGGATCCTGAGGGTCGCTTCTGGCAAACTATCTGTTTAGGGCGAAATGAAAGAAAGTTTGCAACAACACTGAGTGTGACCCATTTAGAGGAAGATGAGAGGAGGAGTGTTTGAGACAAAAAAACAATGGTGGAATGAGATCTCTCCCACGAAATAAGATGAACCATTCTAATATTCAGTTTAAACTTGAGCCTCTCACATTAGCATCCATCCAGGTAGTTGGTTTCATAAATAAGGTATAGCAGTAAGAGTAATAGAGCACAGAGTCCATTGGACAGATGATCTTTGCAGAGGGCAGACCTTTCTCAAAATCAACACCTAAGGCAGAAGAAAAGAAAACAGGTGAAATGATAAGTGATTGGGAGGTGGCTTTGAAGAATATCTCTGGATCAAAGTTTAGGACTGTAATAAGAGTTTTTCTTTATTTTCTTTTTGGGTCACACTGGAGATGCACGGGGGTTATTCCTGGCTCATGCACTCAGGAATTACTCCTGGTGGTGCTCAGGGGACCATATGAGATGCTGGGAATTGAACGCGGCTCATCCACATGCAAGGCAAACCTACCTGCTGCGCTATCACTCCAGCCCCATGTAATAAGAATTTACATTATGAACTGTTTGAGGTTTGTGATGGTTTTGAGTCAGAGATACTAAATGGTAGCTATAATTTTGCTTTTAAAATATTCAAGTTCATTATTCCACCCTGGCCTCTGTCTGCAAGGGAGATATCATCTTCCTCCTTTCACTTAAGAACTATACCTTAAACTTTAATCTTTGGTCTGATACTTTTATATTTTATCCTCTATGTCCTAATATAGAAGTCACTAACAGAACTCTTACCTCACTGTTTTTATTTTGCAATGAATTAATTTTTTTTCTGGGAGCCAACTTGGCAGTGTTCAGGGCTTACTCCTGGCTCTGTGCTGATGGATCACTCCTGGCAGTTCTTGGGGAAACATATGGGATGCCAGGGTGCAATCTAGGGTTGGCAGTGTGCAAGAAAGTTTACTTAATATCATGGAATATCTGGCCCTCATTCAAATACTAGTGTAGCAGTAGGATCCTTTTCACCATTAGTTACCAAAAAGGCAAATACACGTAAAGAATCTTCAATATGGTTCATCTTACTGTGATGAAATTTATCACTACTATATGTATCACATTGACATATACCACGTTATGTCTTTAATAATTCACAGAACACAATACAAAAATAATTTTTACCTTGTGTTTGAGACAGGGGTATAAGGCAGGAAAGCATGATCCAGGATATACTGGAGAAAGTCATAGTAGGTAACATCCTGATCATACCTTAAGGAAAAAATCAGATTATAAAGGAAGTTTAGTAGGAAAAAATATGTCAGAACATCTTGTTTTTGCTATTATGCCTTTCCTTGTCTAACGCCATAGGAAGCTGAAGAAGTGCATGGAAATTTCATAAATCTCACTTTGAAAATATTCAGAAAATTAATAGCTCTGATACACAGAATCAGATTTATGTCATTTAAAAATATTGTGGTGCAGCGATTAAGGTAAATATCAAAGGCATATATTTTAAAAAACCTATAATGTGCTCACTTGAATAATGTTCTAAATTTCTTTAATATTTTTTCTTGTTTCATACAAAATCAAATTTTAATTATGTATTGACCACGTCAGAATTGGCTATTGATGAATATAAAGTTTGAATTGAGGTGATATGTTCTATAATTCTTGCTTCACTAGTTTAGCAAACTTTGAGCATGGGGAAAAATATAATAGCTTTGAAATGGAGATATAGTATAGTGGTGGACTTGTTTTCAGCATCTGAAACTCCATATGGTTTCCTGAATTCCCAACAAATGAACCCTGAGTGCAGTCAAGAGTAAGCCCTGAGCATCTCTGGGTGTGCCCTCACAAAAAAAAAAAAAGTACACACACATACCACCTAGGATCTTAAAGAACACCAGGTAAGCATACTTTTCTTCAAGATAGCACAGCGGTAGGGCGTCTGCCTTGCGCGCAGCCAACCTGGCTGAGCCAGGTTCGATTCCTCTGCCCCTCTCAGAGAGCCTGGCAAGCTACCGAGAGTATTCAATATGCCAAATACAGTAACAAGAAGTCTCACAATGGAGATGTTACTGGGCCCGATCGAGCAAATCGATGAACAACGGGAGGACAGCTCCTCCTCCAAATCTGTGGTTAAAACTGATAAATATTTTATCAGTTAACTTTGACTATTTTCTAAGATATGACTTCATAGACTGTCATTATGAGAGAGCTGAACAAGTATGAATTTCTAGACCTCTTCCAGGGACTGTGAACTTATAATTATTCATTAGCCACAATTTTAATAAATCTATTTTGCGGTTAAATAAAAAATAAGATCTATTACAGTTAGAATAAAAGAATCATGGTAACAAGTATTGAGATTTAAACTCACAAATATAGAGTGGAGTAAAATTTTAAGAGATTACAAAAGTGTTTAATCAACCAAACTTGAGTCCCCCAAGATCAGAGATATAAGTAGCAAGCACAATAATATTAAGTACTAAAGAAGGATCAGGTACTTGAAGAAGTGTGGATCTTTAGGAAAAGGTGTCAGAAGACATTTATGAGTATAGCTCTAACCACAAGATTATTAGTAAGTGTGAAACCTCGCATGACCCACAATATCTCATGGTTTCCTTAACACAACTAGTGTGTTCCCGGTGACAGCTGTTAACTACCATAACACAAGACCAATTTACCACAGTCTTACCACAAGACAATTAGTTTGTAATTCTGGGTACTGCCTAGGTGGGACTAACCTCCATGCCCCCAAGGCTTAGTGACTAGATAGAAATGCAGCTATTCCTAAAAAGATAATACCTAAAATTTAAATGAAACACAACTCACGTACTGAACTCTTAAAAGAGCACTCCAGATTTGTCAGTAGAAACTAGCCAGGACAGAGGGGTTATGTCATAATATTGTCAAAGTTCTAAATGGAACTTTTAGAAGATAAAAATTCACCCAGTTGAAATGCCAATTAGAATATAAGGAAGATAAAATGTTAAAGTGATAAATGAAGCCCAAAGTGGTTTACAACTTCAAAAATAGTCGAACAAAATATTAAAATTAGGTTTTTTTAATTTGTTTGTTTGTTTGTTTGTTTGGGGGTCACACCTGGTCACTTCTGAGGGTTCTGGGAATCAGATGGAATATGTGAGATTGAACCCAGGTCAGACACATACAAGGTATTAATGCCAATCCACTGTACAATCATCAGGTCCCAAATTTACTTAAGAAAACAAATAAGCAAGCAAACAACAATCTCACACATAACTAGGAGCAAGGCACCAAAATTATACAATGGACGGACAAAAGAAAAAAAGTAAAAAATGTGACCCTCTCCCAAATAAATATAACTTCAGACCACCTAAGAATTTACAGTAATAGGGGCCAGAGTTAAGGTGGTTGTCTTGGCATAGGGCCAAGTCGGGTTCATCCCTGGCACCACTTCATTTCAGAATCTATTTATTCTCATAGTACTTTGTGTTCTCTAGACTTCTTTCCTTATTCTCACATCAAACTAATGACACCTTTAAATATTTTTCTTTGTCCTTATTATTTTACTGAGTGTGATATCTTCCAGTTCCATCCATGTGAGATCAAATGCCTATATTTAATATTTTAATGGCTGAGCAATATTCCATTCTGTACACTTCTTTATCCAACTGTATCTTATTGCAGACTCAGGTTTTTCCTTCTCTTGGATTTTAAAGGTAATATAACAAAGAATATAAACATGCAAATACATATTTTGTTGTTTTTTAATATATATTCAATTACTGTTTTTGTGTTTTTTTATATACAAACCTAGGAGTGGAATTGCTGAGAATTAGGGATGAACAATTTTAAAGTTTAAGAAATTTCTGTATTGTTTATCATAGAGACTGGACAAATTTATTCTAAATTGCTGTGTGTGAGTGTTCATTTCTTCTCCACACCCTTAACAGAACTTGTAGTTTCTATTCTCCTTGAGATAAGCCATTGTCATTCTTAAATAATGTGCCAGGTTATATCTCACTGTTGTATTAAATTGCTGTTTTCTGACAATAAGTGATAATAGCAATGCATCTCATGACTATTAGCACATTTCTTTGGTGAAGTACCTGTTTCAGTTTTTCCTACTTTGGAAAGTGTTTGCTAATTTATTTTTCTTTAAGTTAGTGAATTATTTATCTTGTATATTAGCCCTTTATCTTATGTATGATATGCAAAGATATACCCTAATTGGAAAAATCTGTAAACTTTAATGATTTTTGTCAGTATACAGTTTAAAAGTTTTTGTTTACATTTGTTTTTAATAGAAAAATGTAAAATCAATCTGTTAATTGAAAGAAAAATTGACTCAAGAAAATGAGCCATGCTACACACACACACACACACACACACACACACACACACACACACAAAGAGGAATAGTATTCTGCCACTAGGAAAAATTTAAAAAAATCTTGTCTTGTAGGTCAAAATGAGTGGTGGTGGTGGTGAAAGTGAGGGATTGATTTGTGCTACCCCCGGTGATACTCAGTGTATATTCCTGGCTCTGTGGTCAGCAGTGACTCCTGGCTGGGCTCAAGGAGGAATGTGCCAAGATCGATCTAGTTTCACCATATGCTTTGACCCCTTTACTATCTTTCTGGCCCCAGGGTTTTTGTTGTTTGTTTTACTTTTTATCAGTACATTTGTACTTAAATATTAGTCATCCTCTATCTATGTAGAGGGAAAAAAATCTATAGCCCCAAACTGTATACGATTTTAAATCAGAAGAATCCAACCATAGTTGTCTAACTCCACTTCCATCCATTTCCATGGAGACAATGATCCTGAGGTAAAGAATGGTTGAATGTTAAACCAGTAACTCTCTCCTTGTAGTTGTTTTTCACTTCTGCACCTGCTAACCTCAAATACATCATGAAATATTGCCTTTTTCCAAATGCTGAGTCAGTTCTGTCCTCTGGAAAAATTCTCATTTCTTAGCAGTACTACTGGCAAATCCCCCAATGCTCATCATACATTTGAAGACATTCATAGTAACTTGTTATGTGTTAAATGATAACTGATATCATATATGTAGTTACCCTCTAAATATCAATGAGTCTGTATAATATAGAGCATAAGGCACTTGCATTGCATGTGGCTGACCAGGTTCAATTCCTGGCATCATAGACAGTCTCCTGAACTCTGGCAGTAGTGATACCTGAATACAAAGACAAAGACTAAGCGCTAAATTTGGCCCCCAAACACAATTTCTAGACGTGTGTGTGGTCAGAAAAAGTAATATAGAAATTTCTTTGTTCCGCTGGTCTTTTCCTTTACTTTGTCCCGTAATGAAAGCTAGATGACATTAGTGACATTAATGAACTGACATTGGTGACATTAAGCCCTTTCACTGGGATGAAAAAAATTGGAAAATGTATATGCTCTTTATGACTCCTAGTTACCTATTCTGACTTTCAGTTTCTTTATTCTCCCAGGACAGTGATCTTCCTTACATTCCTAGTTACTGATATAATGCAAAAATCCCTGTCATATTCTCATATATTCATTTATTTATTTGGCAGTTATTCAGTGTTTTACTGTTTCATCATCATCATAAAATTCAATTTACATGTTGAAACTGTATATTATCTGTATATTACACTAGAAACTCTATATTACAGAGTTGACTAACTTACTGACCATTGAATACAGAGTATATGTGTACCAGAATTTTATATTTAAAAGGTTCTCAATATTTACAATTGATCCCCACAAAATGGCAGGTCAGTATTCAATCCAGTTCACTTTTAAATTCATTATGGATCTTTACGTCAAAGTACTCAAGGGCCATTCCTCTCAATCCCCAAATTTGAAACCAGCTTTTTCAGAAATATTATGAAATTGACAAGAAGCTAGAGATAATATAAATTTCCTATTTTGAAGGGGATCCTTTAGAAGAATCCAGCAGCACCAGTTCACTGACAGAAATGTTCCTTTTTCTTAACAAAATAAAGCAGGAGTCTCCTTAATTTTAAACAAACACCTCTCATGCCGTGAATTCCTACGGAATGGGCTCCAGCAGCACAGTCTCTTTGCACTGGATCTTACAAAATGTGCTTCTCTCGATGAAGCAGGCTGGCGCTTCAGTTGTACCCAGGTCTCTTTGGCTTCCTTCTTTCTCTGACCATTTCATTTTCCTTCACCCGTTTCAGGAAGTCGTCTCCACTCTTAAGACCATTTAATAATACGCACCACGAACATTAATTCTCTGGCAAGAATCTTGTCCTTGAC